TGGCAAGTAATGTCAATATCATGCTTAGACAAAAATCGAAGGGGAATGGTGGGGCATATAGCGTAAATGAGATGTTAAACGACGAGATGGTTGATAGCTATTTAAACGAAGATCGAGCTTATAGAGTTTTAAATGGTGTGCGTTCCTCATCAGAATATTGGAAAGCCCAGAAAAAAGACGTAATGGCCATGATCCGTCAGTTTGGTATTCCAACGCTTTTCGTGACTCTTTCGGCTGCCGAAACTCAGTGGCCCGAATTATTAGTGATCTTGAAAAAAGTTGTAGATGACGTTACTATAACGGAAGATCAAGCAAAAGAAATGGCCTATGCCGAAAAAGCAAGGTTAATCCAAAGTGATCCAGTGACCTGTTCTCGTTACTTCGACTATAAATTTCGTGAGTTGAAGAAAACCTGGAAAGATCCTAACGGACCTTTTGCCGGCTACGAATTAGCGAGTATTTCTTCAGAATCGAATTCCAACACAGAGGTAGGTTAATTAAATACATAAACATTTTGGCATGCTTTATCTAAATCATACGGTAAGGCTCTCCCCATGTTCATATGCTGATCTGGCTCAAAGATGCTCCATGCTATGTAGACGAAATGGATCCTGAATCACCTGAAGCAGATCAAATTTGCGAATTTGTAGATTCCGTTATCAGTTGCAAGAAGGAGTGGGATGGTAGCCCCCATGAACGTAATGTGGGAGTATGCACTGAAGATACTTGGAAACATTTGTTGAAACGGCAAACACATAAACACACTCATTCTTGTCAGCGTAAAAGAGGTGGTCGTGTCATTTGCCGCTTCAATATACCATTTCTACCAATGGATCGCACTATTATTTTGGTACCCCTAAATGAGGACACAGAATCTGAAGCTCAAATTGAAATGCACCGAAATGACTACAAAAAAATTAGGGACTTCATTCAAGATAACATTGAAAGCTTGTCCACCAACAATTTTACTTTCGAAGAGTTCCTTCTTAAAATTAACATGGCTTCTGTTTACCAATACCATAAGGCTGTACGCTCCAGCTTAAAAATGAACAAAATATTCATCAAGCGTAATCCAAATGCAATTATGATCAATAATTACAATCCCAAAATTTTGGTATGTTCAGATCAAATATGGACATTCAGTTTATTTTGGATCCTTATGCTTGTTGTGCCTATGTAGTTGACTATGTAAATAAGTCGGACAAAGGTATGAGCCAGGCGTTAAAGGGAGTGTTTGAAAAACACAAAGAAACCCCTAATAGCAACAATCTGGAAATGCTTCGATCAATCGCAACCACTTATTATAATGCTTGTGAGATTTCTGCTCAAGAAGCTTCCTACAACATTTTGCAGTTACGTATGTCAGAAGCCAGCACGGGATGTATTTTCGTTCCAACCGCAAAACCCTGCAATCGGGTACACATGGTTAAAAAAACAGAGGCTCTAAATGAAGAATTTATGCGTAACCCTGATTCGACAAATTGTTTTGAACCTTCGATTGTAGAGCATTACACTGTCCGTCCTGTAGTTTTCGAAAACTTAAATCTGGCCCAATTTGCAGCATATTTTGAATATTCTAGAAAAAAGCCTAGACAAAGATCCTCAGGTAGACCATTTAATGGTAGTGATCAGGAGGATCAGGGCGATGGTGAGATTGATGACAATCATGACAGCGTCATTCCGTCTGATCTTAGCGGTAATGATCATGGTGGTTTACCTGGTGAAGTTTACCAGCTGAATGGAGATAACAATGGATGGATCAAACGTCGTACTAAGTCGAAAGTCATCAGATATTACAAATTTAATATTGATTCAGACCGCGAAGACTATTTTCGAGCAATCTTGATGTTGTATAAGCCATGGCGTGATGAGACCGTAGAGCTTATGGATGCTGATTGTGAGGGAGTGTATCGCCAGTTTTCCACTGAAGTTGAAGAGGCCAGGGCAGAATTCAATCGAATTGATGATGCTGTACTTGACGAATATAACAGACAGTTATCAGGAGAGAATGACGAGGAAGCTGACCGAGAAAACAATGATGAAAATGAAGACAGTGAAAACAATCCTGAAATCAATCGTACTGAGCCAGGCGCTGAAGAAAATGATTTTGCCAGATATGCTGCTGAGATGGATGATTCTAGTGAAGGTGATTATCACACCCGAGCCGATATTAACGAGGATCTCAACAATAATGCCGATAATACAAGTTCTCGTAAAACGTATCTTGAAAAATTAGTTCTTCCAAACGTATTACCTGATATTGATTACTTCAATCTGATGGCGACCCTAAATTTCAAGCAGAGGTCATACCCGACTAGTCTCATTGGTCATGTTAGATATAACAAAGCCGAGTTTGTTCTGAGAGATGGTAGCAATACCTATTCTCCAGTTTACAATTTTGTGACTGGTGGCGCTGGTGCTGGTAAAAGTAAGCTTATCTGTGCCATTTACCAGTCTCTTTTGCGAGAGTTTGATTTTGGGAGGGAGCGTGATATGTCAACTCCTTCTGTTCTTCTTACTGCACCAACTGGTAGAGCTGCATTCAACATACAAGGACAGACGCTACATAGCGCATTCCAATTTCCCATATCCCAAAATGGTGATAAATGTATCAATCAATTGTCTGCTGATGTCGGTCACTCTATGGCAGTCGCATTAAAAGATCTTCGCTTTGTCATCATTGACGAAATAAGCATGGTCAGCAAAAAGCATTTTGGATGGATTGATAAGCGTTTACGAGACATGTTCGAACCATCAATCCCTTTTGGAGGTATAAGTGTTATTGTTTTTGGTGACTTTTTACAACTACCACCAGTGGGTGGTTCTTCGGTCTTTGCCTCCGACACAACTTTAACAATTTCTTCGTTATTTGATTTTGATCTTTGGTCTTTATTCAAAGTACACAAATTAATGGAAATCATGCGCGAACGTGATGATGTTCCGTTTGCTGTTGCCCTGAACAACTTGGCCACTGGTTCAATGACACCGGTTGATATAGCCTTGTTCCAAAGTTGTGTTGCGGTGCTAGATGAACAACAATTGAAGTTATTAGAGGAGGGTAAAATAGTTCTGCCTCCCCCCAGCAAAATTAAATCGATCAATCTATTCCATGCAAACAGAAATGTAAAGGCAACCAATGATATCATTTTAAATAGTATGGATACCGAGGGGGCTGTTTCCACGGCCTACGATCGTGTGCTCGGTGACTGTAGAAGTCAAACCGCTGTCAATCAGATGCTCCATTCAGCAAGAGAAGATGCATCATTGAGTGAAACTCGTGGATTACCAAAAAAGATCATACTGAAAGTCGATGCACAGTATATGATGACAGTTAACATCGATACGTCTGATGGCTTAGTAAATGGAGTCATTGGTGTTTTGAAACGAATTGATTACGGTAGACTGAAATCTAACGCCAATACTACGGTAAGAAAACCGATCCGTGTTTGGATTCTGTTCGATGATGAGAGAAGTAGAAGAGCTCTTCGTAATAAACAAGTAACACTGAGATTAACGTTGGGTCTTCCAAACTTATGGACCTGTGTTGAACCAAGCACCTTGATTATTCGTCGAAACTTGAAGTCGCACATCAAGCTAAACAGGACTCAATTTCCAATTGTTCCTGCCGAAGCCATGACTGTGCATAAATCGCAGGGTGGTACGTATCCAGGTGTAGTAGTTAATGATTGTGGTAGAAGAACAATGAGCCGTTCGTTAAAGTACGTTGCTTGTTCCAGAGCAACTTCCGCTAAAGGTTTGGTGTTGATTTGCAAAAAAAACAAATTTGTTCCTCCTTCTTCTTTGGCCAGAGATACAGTAATGGTGCTTCTTCGTTGCGAAATGAATTAGAAAGACATGATACTTTCAAATTCGTTCCTTTATTTGATAAGTTGACTGTAAGAGACGAATCAATCATACAAATTTTGTCACACAACGTCCAAAGTTTACGAGCCCATATCGACCAAATACAAAGAGATCAAGTGTATATAAATTCTGATATCATTCTGCTCTGTGAAACATGGACTTTGCCTAACAATGAAGTTTTTGAACTAGACAATTTTATTTTAGCCTCAAGACAGGATGGTCAAACCGGAAATCCTAAACCAGTTGGATCGTGTTGTTTTATAAATAACACCTTTTTAAACAATCGCACGTATACTTCTGATAGTAAATACTTTCAAGATAGAAATTGCTCAGTCAGTGTTTCGCTTGTGGTCATTGATAGTAGTTTATTTGCCAGTGTTTACTGCTCACCAAATGCTTCGACCGATATAATATTAGAAGCTTTGCAATTTATTTTAGACCACCCTCATGGATCAGTTACTATTGGTGGGGATTTTAATGTAGATTTTGCATCTTATTCTTCAAAAAAATCAAGCATTGTAAACCTCCTGAGTCAATATAATTTGACATCACCTTTAATGGATACAGTTACATCCACAACAAAAAAAAACACATTTATCGATAATATTTTTACCAGCAACCAAGTGATTGATTCAGGCAAATATGTATCGTTTACAAGCTATCACGAGCCCTTATGGATAAAACTTTTAAAATAATTTAGATAAACAATAAAAACTTAATTCATTCAGTCTTAGAGAGGGCCGCAGGTCCCGATCGGCAAATAAGCTAAAACGTCAGTCACACGAGAGGGCCGCAGGTCCCGATCGGCAGTCTGAAGAACGCCTAAAAAACCGGCCGGAGGTCGGTTTTTTTATGCATGATCATGATCTAGCTGTTATATATTAGTGATGACGAGACATGAATTTGTTATATTTCTAATCTATATGTGTGATTTAGCACATTAACAAGTAGCGTCTTTTATTTCGTATCAACCAAGCCAGCAAGTATACAATATGTAGATGAATATAATACTTCTGATGAACAAATGACAGAGAAGAAATGCAAGGCATAAATTTAAGTCAAGCTAAGTCGTTTTTTTCTTAATTGGTCACTTTGTCCAAATACTTTTAGTAAAAATATATTTGATAGCATGGGTTTTAATTATACTGGATGCTATAGTCACGAGACTTTGAAGTGGTGTTATTAATCATCTGCAATAATTGTGTGGTATCTGGAGTTGCAGAGGGAGAAAACGTTGAGGCTTCGATTGGATATGTAACCTTTGGGGATAGCGTACTGACAGGTGCAACGGCAACTGTTGGTGAATCTGCTTGGTAACAGCAATGCCAAAATATAAGGGTGACGCGCAATAGCGTACGGATATTTTTTAGTGTGACGGACGAGTGAAGGCAGGACAATGATTCAGGCAGGGTGATGCGGCCAATTTCAATCCTGGTAAAGAAATTAGTATGTATCATTTGCGTCATGTAAAAAACTAATTGAAATCCTACAAAACATTTTGAAATAGTTATGACCCATAAACACTGTAGCAACATTTTCCTTCTTACCATAAGCTTGAGAAGTGAGGATGGGATGGTCACACTTCAATACGCTGTTGCGTGCTAATACGGTGAGCTTGACCGTGTTCATGCATAGGAAATGGTTGCTCGTCCTGTCAGCTCCAAGCTTCACTTCCCCGAAACCAAGGGATTGCCCAAAGGCACGTTAGACCAAGGTAGATACAATGGCGTCTGGACGAATGCCAGTGGTTGATGTATCCTTCTTATTCGGCCATCGTAATACGACCTTCTTCGTAGTATCTGCCAAAATGGACGACAGCCATGGATCATAATACCTGGTTTGTACGTCTACTTCTCCAAATTGGTTCTTGTCTGCGACGGGTTCAAGCGGTAGTTTCACCAACCTACAATGAAAATAGATGAGGAAGGATATTAGTACTTAGACGCACTTTTTTTCACCACACTACAATATTGACAAATCAGCAATGCCTTCGACAACATTAGACTTGAATTGATCCATGCTAGTGGCTAGAGTCAAGAGGCGGAGATTGGCACTTTTTGGAGACATACCCTCCTTGTCAATATTGGATACCACATTCACCATTTCCATGAAGTCATCATTGGTACAATTCGGGGTATTGTGTGGCACTTTGCTGAGTAGCGATTGAGTCTGACACTCTAGCAAATTCTTGAGCACTTGTTCCCCAAAAACAGTCACTTTGCGTTCGCTATGCTGTTCATTCGCCAGGAAGAGTACACCCGACAAGGCTAATATCTCCTGGATGTTCGATTCCAAAGGGACAGGCTTAGGAATGATGTCTGCTTGATGCCGGTATTTTTGGAAAAGAGAAGTAATATCGTTCCCATCAACAATCCAATGCTTCTCTTCGTTGTCACTCCCTTTTCGAATTTTAGCATGCTCTTGATCCAAATCAGTTGTAGTTGTTGCTGCTATAGGTTGTGATGCAGTTGTTTCCTGTGTTGGACGTGGAGTTGGTGATTCTATTGTTGGAGATTGATTCTGAGGCTCCAAAAGGCTCTGGGAATCAGATAATAACATATCATTGATCAGTTGGGAGCAGTTGGACGCAGTAGTTTCCAAAGCATGAATTCGCTGGCGTTCCTTCCAAAACACTGTGCAATCAAGCGTGAGACACCAATTTTCAAATTCCTCAAGGAGGCGAGAATGATCTTCTTCGGACATGTTCGTAAGGATTGTCTTATAGCGAGCGTGGCAGCGCCTGCGATTGTAGTGGCCATACTCCAGGGCAAACACCTTTAAAGTAAGATCACTGACGTTCAGAATGCACCATTGTACATCAGCTGCTAACACCCGTGGTCTCTTCTCGCTTGATTTCGGATTGACGGGCGTTTTTCTTTTGCGATTCTGAGACGTATCCGGTTCCTCTGGTGATTGGTGGTATCTTTCAGCTGTTTTCGTTTTCACCTTATTATTTTTGGTGCGTAACTGACGTTTGCTGACAGTAGGAGTCTGACCACGTTTACCCGTCATTTAGTAAATGATTCAAAACGAACCAAATTAAAAATGCAAAATTCGTTCTTCATCATCAACGAAATGAACTACTTTTGTTTATAAATTGATTTAATGTTTTTCATAGTAGGGTGATGCGTCATATTCTAGTGGTTGCGCCAGCCAAAAAAAAATCGACGTCAACTTTTTCATTTTAACGCAGTTGGTGGTGCGCCAAGAATTGCCTATAAATATTTCTGAATCACTAAACAAATTTCCATTTTGCTACCACTACAAGCACACCCGACTCTTTTTGAATTCAAGATCAAATGTGCTTATATAGCAGAATAGAAAAATAGTATTGGATCCATATTGTATTAGCGATGTTAACATTTGTCAGTGGTTCAAGACTTTTGAGCTTGTCGCTAAACGATACGTAATGACCAACATGAATTATTGGATTTACCATGTTTAGTTATACTTACCTCGTCGAATCCCTTTGTTGATACCCACCTTTCCAGACATTGTACGGCTGAGCTAGAAACTGTTTACAAAAGCGATTATGAGACAACTCTCTCGGGGTGCTACATGTGATGACAATAAGGTCAAAATATGGCTTCGACAGATAAATCCAGGTCAACCAACAGCATTGATATTGCAAATATCAGATTGGACTCATTGTCACAGTCTCTTATTTATACCTTTATCCACCGTCCAACAGTTGGACAAATTCCTACAATCCTTATTTAATCAACAATTGCGGTATTCACTACAGTGCATCTATGTTATAATGATTAATTTCTGGCTCCGAATTCCAACAAAAAAAAACGCGATCTTCCCGATGAATTTCACATGTATCACAAATACGGATATATTATGTTTTTTATTACAGAGTTCTTCTTAAACTAATAGAGGCCAATTGTTTTTTTTTCACACAAAGTTTTATGAAGATGGCAAAACAAAATTTGCCATTTACAGTGGGGAGATCCAAAGATTTCCTGGAGGTGTTTTACATTGAAAAATTCCTAATATTATATCAGGTATCTCCCGGTTAAACGTTTTATCGCGATAAATTAGACTTCTCTTCAAAAATCTAAAAATTGCTAACGTAGAAATCGGGCTTTAAACTTCCCAACTGTCCTTTTTAACGAAAAACGTTTATTCTAAAATAAATGCTCTGTATCGACCGAGAAATCTACTTAACCACTGTTGTGTTTTAAGGTAAAGTTAAATTATAAAAAGACTATAGGAGTAGTTTGAGACTGTTTACCAGATGTCTTTATTAATAAAGGAAATATACGATTATTTATATAAAAGACAGTCTGCTGTGGTCATATCTCTAGTGCTATCTTGAAGTTATCATTGATTAACCAAACATTTATACGATCATTACATACCCACTAATTTAGTCTTGTTCTAATAAAGGTTAAGTCTTCTTAACTATCTTTGCTTTAAACTAAATTTTAAGTATTTTTCAGATGTACTAAATTAGACTTGTGATGTAATATCCTTATAGTTCTTACTTTGACATTTATTGTCAAGGTTATATCACAAATGGTATCAAAATGGATAAACCTTTGATAGCTCTAATATGGTTATAGCCTTGCTAGATCACCACAAGCACGCCTCAAGAAATGAATTATCACTGTAATATTCAGAAATCTCTTCTAAATATCAAATAATGTAGATTACGCAAGGACCCTATGGTTTTGTTAGACTACATCTTGTAGGCTCTCTATAACTCTGATAAAATGTTTTATGGCTTAAATCCGACCCTATCACAATACGTGTGACACATTGCTCCCCAATCTGTCTCAGATAGTTATTGTGGTAAACTAGAACAACTGTTAGGACAACATATTAAGCCTGACACCTCATACTGGCATATAAGTCGTATACGTTTAGAAATACCAACCGATCCAGCCAACTTTAAGGTTTATACATCGACCGTTAAGCCTACCGTTCAAAAATTAAAAGACGACCGGTCAACCCGTCGGTCAAAAATTAAAAGACGACCAGTCAACCCGCCGGTCGAAAATTAAAAAACCGACTGGTTAACCGGGCAATTGACAATTAATAAACGACCATACAATGTACATTGCATCTATTTTAAAATTAACAATTTTTTGTTCTGATGGTTTTAAAAAAAAGAAAAACTTATCCCCTAAATTTCTATCACGAAGAGATTATTCCGTGTGTATCGCAGCTCCAACTTCTGTTCAACCCACATATTTATAGAATACAACCCAAAATAACATTACTACTAATACATTCGCCGTATCCTTAAGCAAACCGGTCAAATCTATCAAAAACGTTCCTATACAAGATTAGACCTTAATATATTTTCGATGCCCCGACCAATGGCCCAAACAACTTCGATCAGAATTGAGTCAAAACCAAAAAACATTTATTGTCAAGAATCCACATGTATACAAAATAATGAAAAATACAAATAATACCGATACTGTTGTGATCGAGCTTTATATATTCATGTATGCTTGATCTACACAGCATATTTTTATCCATTACGATAATTTTATAAACACTTCTTTTAATGTTGCATATTAAATATTCACAATTGACTTAACAAACTAGCACGATATTCATCAAGCTAAATACAAGTACAAAAGTATACATTTATTATACAATTATTCTAAAAAGACATTATTAATATATTGTAATAATCAGATTAGCGGAGGCCAATGACAAGCGAGGTTTAAAAGTACAAACATGATAAATTTTTGAATGTACTTTGATGACTTTTAAATGTACGCGTCAAGTGACACTACAGACCTATTATAGAAACGTGTACAACTCTTTCTTCTATTATATGATTCTCATTGGATTACTTACTTTCAAGATATGGCATGTCAGTCATAATCTTGCCTGTCATCTAGCCCTGTCTAAGAAGGAGGTCGAATTCAATATGTATATAAAGGACCCCTAAAATTTATGTTAATAAAAGTTCAGTTAATTTTTGCAATCTGGTTAATCTTGTCATTTTTCCTAAATTATCATCGATTTATCAGATAAAACCGAATTAAAAATGTTTCCATTTCATCAAGGAGCTGATTTATTGATATCGTTCATACTGCAATTGGTCATTCGATTCAAATCTCTGTCTACAATCAACTAAAATCTCGAGTTTGGTGGCCAAATATGTAACTTGATAGCACTAACTGGTTAAATAATGCCCAGCCTGTCAACGTACAGGTTGTGCTGAAAAGAATATCTATCATGCGCCGCTGAAACCATTGAATGTACCACCTGCGTTTTCGTCTTGGCATCATGATATTGTTGGAGAATTATCAACCACCAAAAATGGCAATCGATGGATCTTAGTTGTTGTAGATTACTCAACCAATTGGACGATCATGTGTGCATTAAAAAATGCCCGTGGTGATTAAATTGTTAAATTCATATACGAAGAAATTGTGTTGAAATTTGCAAACCCAGTAAAAATATTTACAGACAAAAATCGAACGTCTCAATCAAAATTACTATGTAAAACAATACATGAATAAGATTAGATTGAAACACACATTTACAAGCGCATATCATTCACAAAGTAATTCAAAATGCGAAAGATTAAATCAAATTATCAAGATCATGTTAAAATATTTGTTATTGGCGATGTACACAGTTGGGACCAGTATATTAACAAGGTGACATTTGCATGCGGCATAAGAAAACACTCTACTATGTACGCATTGCAGAGAATGGTACGACCAACTTACCAATCAGCTGAAGGAACTGCAGGATAATCGTTAACTTTATGAGTATAGTTAAATTAAGGCAAACAAGTTTTAAACGAGTAATATAACTCTTCTTTGACCAATAAGGAAGATATACGTAAAAAAATGGATGATATGCTTCCACAAAAAAGTGTTACAATCAACCACTGTAGAAGATGTTTTAGCGAAATTCGCACTTTAAATAATTTGCTATAAATTAATAAATTTGTTAACTTAGTTTTTCTACCTTTCTTTCGCTTATAACCTTTTTTAAGGCAGCCCCGAATTCTGTTTCGTGTTGTCAGTGCTGTTATTTAAGTAATGGATACCGTTAAATCATACAAACTAGGTAAACATGACATATGAAATACGAATTGATATTATTATGTCGTTATACTTTAAAGTAACAAGAATATTTGTGCACACATTTGCCATATTCTAAAAGTAATCATCCTTTCAATTTCAGTATGTTTTTTTAGAGAATTGTATAGATGTCGAGCCGTATTTGGACTTGAACAACAGGTTTATGCCAAGCAATCTCTCCTTCTAGGCTATATATTTTTCTTTAGACTATAACCGTTTTCTTTTAGGCCGCAATTTTTTTTAGGCTGATAAATGATTTGGTCTATGTACAAAACGCTACATCTCGTGGGACTCTCGAATGTTAGATGTATACAAAAGCCGCTGTTAGGCTAGTATGGCGTTAACTGTCCCGTTAATAGGAAGTGCAAGAAGTATTACGGAGGTAAGTTTAACTTTTCGATTTGGAGATGATATGTACATACCATATAATAAATAAAATAAAATACGAAATAAAAATTGAATTAAACAAAAAACGTGTTCATTTAAACCCTGTTTTTTATTATATAATGAATCTCTGGATTGCACAACAGTATAAAGGCTCATCGGCATCAATAATAATGTAGTTAAAAGTGATGCAATAATTTACGTACTTCTTATTGAGTGAAAGATTGCTATATTGTGATAAAAAGAAGCATCAAGTGGTATTTAAAAGCTACCAGAAGTGGTATAAGTACGCAACATGTTGCGGGTTTTTACCACATAGTCCGCCACTGTGTTATGTCAAAACTAAAAGGTCAAGAGAAACTATACAAGATTTCATCAATAACGATGAAAACCACATAGAAGTTTTGATTGTTTGGTTTCAGACATTTGTTGAATATAACGACGCTTTGAAGTCTTTTACTTCAAAGTTCAAGCAAGTGTACGAGGATGTCATACAAAAATCATACACACGCAAGGCCAAAGTAGATATTATGACAATTTTTCAACAATCAAAATCTCCAACGAACGCAATGGTGATTGGAAGCAAAGTCTTAGATGAAGCTACAAATGCTGCCTCAGAGAGATTAATCTTGACACTGAAACAATCACCAAAAGTATAGTATTAAAAACATGATATCGATAAATGTATGGGTAAAGTAAAAAAATCTGTTGTAGATTGTGCCTGGTGCGTCTTCCTTCTCATCCTCATCTACTGCCGGCGCTTCCTCGTCTACTGCAGGTGCTTCCTCATCTACTGCTGGTGCTTCCTCATCTACTGCTGGAGCTTCCTCATCTACTGCTGGAGCTTCCTCATCTAATGCTCGTGCTTCCTTATCTACTGCTGGTGCTTCCTCATCTACTGTTGCCGGTTCATCGATCGAAGAAAAATGGAATCCATATATCAAATCGTGTAAAGACAGATCAAGAAAGCACGGATTCAATTTGCAAACCCAAGCTCACAAAGTATAAGCAAGTCAACAGATAATACTACTCCCGGAAGGACAGATGTTTTCCGAAATCGCCAAGCACGCCGATACCGAATACCTTCTAAGGTTGTTCTCAAGCAAAAAAAATATTTCCGATTTCATCTGATCTGAAGTGCGGAGTTACCTTCCATGGAATTTTGTGTAATAAAAACTTCAGTAAACTTCAGATGAAAAAAATCCATCTGAATTCTACCGAAGTGATATAAAAGGAAATTTCCCATGATTTCTAATTTCACGAATATTTTCCAATTTTTTTAAAAAATCCAAATTTTCTTTTCTTTCTTTTTCCTAAATACATTACCATGGAGCAACAAAACATATTCGAACAAAAGGAAAAGATTACTAAGAAACAGTATACCAAAGATGATATGTACCATATTGCAGAATTATATGGACACTACTATTTGGCTATCAATACTCACAACAATATTTTGTCACCAAACAGAGTTCAAATCAACAATCAGCATTGGAAAGCGTTCACGTTGGAATACAACAAGCGCCAAGCCCTCCTTCCCAACAATGAAGGTTATTTCAGGTCCGAAAAAGCTCTTCTCGAGAAATATGATACTATGAAAACAACGTATCAGAACAAAAAGGAGACCATTACGTCGACCGGTTCGGGAGGTGGCCCACTTCTTAGGTACCTTCAAAAAATGCATAATTATTTGCATAAGGACCCCCAGCTTCACCCAAAGGCCACATATAGCTCCTTAAAAAGAGCTTATAGTGTTCGAGACGGCGAGGATAACAATGATGATGTTGTCGTCTCCGAAGATTCTTGCCCCCCTTGCTCTTTCCCTCCCTCTTCCTCCATAGGCGAACAAAAAAAGAAGAGGAAATCTGTCAAGGAAGAAAAGGAGCTAGCTCGAGTGAAGTCTAGAGATGAAACTTTGGAACAGATGAAGCAAATCACGGAAGGTATGACAAGAAAGCTCGAGGAGATTATGAGCAAGCCTCTTGTTGTTCAACACGTTGAATCTGAAGAGAAGAAGGAGTTTTACAAGAAGTTTCTTGAATTGATGGAAAATGGTTTGAAATAAATTTCATGTCATATAATTTTTATTGAAACTAGTTCAAAAACGTGTTAACATAAACGTTTAAAAGATCTCGTCGTTGTCATCCAGCAGTTCGTTCCAAAGGAGTGTTTGTTTCAAATGTTGCCGGACAATCACTTCCTGAAACAAGTGACAACTCGACTAATTCTTCATCAGTTGTATTAAACGTATTATTAGCATTGATGCAAAAGGTATGCAAAATACATCTGGTATTAACAATTATGACCAAACGTAATTGGTCTTGGATGTACACATACGTCCAAAAAATCTCCATCGCTTCACAAGAATACCAAATGCTCTTTCAACAACCTGCCGCATTGCACTGAACTTGGCGTTGAATCTTGCTTTGTTGGGATCAAGATTAGAACCAAGCTGAGAGTACAGCGTAATGACATGGTAGCTCAATGGGTACACCGAATCTCCCAGAATATACGCATCTTCGAAAAAGTACCTCTTAGGATTCTTCAACATCTCCTTAGCAATATCGATTTTGCTGAGAACGTGTGCGTCATGACATCTTCCGCTTTCACCGGCATACACAAAATTGAACTTGCATTCAGAAGTGACAGCAGCTGTTAAATTCACGGAGAGATTTGACTTACGATCACGATAGCTCTCGGACGTTTCCTTTGGTCGGTGAATGACAATTAAGTTGCCATCAACAGCTCCAATGACATTTGGCAATCGTTTAATTGACAAATCATCCGGGTAAGGGAACTCGAAACCATGCTTTACCTTCCGGAATTCATCTTCGGTTGATGGCCATGAAATCAAGTGGCCTAATTGGTCCTTTACTGCCTCTAGAAACCTTTCCGTAAAATTGAAGAGGGAGCCTTGGCCAAATCCCGAAGTTGCTTTCATCATTCTGTAACAGAAATGACAATTACAAAAACGCCAGAGCACAACTGGCACTTGCATGTACGTGGGTGTACTGTTATGCGAAATACTGATCAAAATTTTGATCAGTTGATTGAGTGTAGCTTTTTTCATTCTATAGTGCGCCTTGTAGCTTTGAGATTTGTCATCATCCCTCAAATTATCATGAGTAATGGACAAGTATCGTTTGTTTTTAATGAGTCTAAAGTGGATAGGTGTCATGAACTCATTTCATCATGTCCTAGATCATGCCTTGATTTTAAACCCTTGTGAAACCCTGTCCTAGAATCTAATATCAGTCTACCTTGTCCGCTACCAAACTCCCTGTAAAACCTTGTACCCAAAATCATATCTGTATATGTTGCCCGCTTCCTGAATTCCTTGTAAAACCTACCACCAATCTGTATTCTAATATACTTCCCGCCTCTTGTCTGACTCAATCTTAGTAAATCTTTTTCCGATCATCTATTACTTCATTTCCCAATCCAGTTTTCCCGCCCGTGTCAAATCAGAGACATTCCCCGAACCATCTAAATATTCAATGTCAACTAAATCCAGCCTGCTATTACTGGTCGAATCTCAATTACTCATCCTTGTCAAATAATCTGCTCATGATATCTGTTCGGTAAAGTCCCTTGTTAATCCATAATTTAAACCCATCGTAGCTTTTCCCATGTATAAGAAATACTATAAATAGATACTAGTTATTTATTAGAAAAACGTTATTCTGGATCTTAGTCCTAACCCCTCCCCCTTCTCTGAAATAAACTTTCCTTTATTATCATTTTTACTCTGACTCTCGTGTCACCAAGTAGTCTTCTTTCTGTTCTTGTTCTGTTTCTGGCAATAGGACTGGACTAGAACACGTCTTCTTCGAACTGCTTAAACATTACTCTAGGAACTACGTTTATTGCTGTCAATAAAATCTGTTGGTATTTTTCCATGACAATCCTCACAGATTCACATGTCATGACATGTTCCTCCTATTCAAGTTTCTGAAGGAAAAGTGGCATATACTTTGCGATATAAAGCATCTTCTCTCTAGGAGACTTGATTATTTTAGGATTCATTTTTGTATAAATTTTTGTAACTAAGGTACGATTTTGTGTAGTAATTTTAGTATTTTCAATAAATAATTTATTGTTCCACGAAATAATTGATTTTATAATTGAAACGGCGAACTTCAGATCAGATCAGATTTGAAATTTTTTTTTTGCTTGAGAACAACCTAAATAATGGAAGACTTCCAAAACTGTTAATTCATCAAATTTAAACGGACTTAAAAATATTTTTTACGATGTGTAACCAAAAATTAACCTTAATTTTAAGACATTTTCTACTGCTTAAATGGAGAAAAGTTAATTGACACCCCCCACCCCCCTTAATTAACTTGAAAATTAACTTCAAAAAAAAATTAACTCAAAAAAAAAATCTTTTTTACATTTTCTTTTAAAACTTTGCATGCAATAGGCTTTAAGGATTATGAAAGTAAAATAAATGAATTGCGAAGAGTTTGTTTATAAAAAAATAATTTTATTGTGCTCTTTTACGCTTATTTGAAACGACTTTTTTACCCTTTTCAAAAGAAGTAGGAGATGGTTCCTAAAAAAATGAAAAAAAAAGGCATTTTTTAGTAAATACAAGACCTAAAATATATCACAATTGTAGGCGAGAATTTGCGGGCAAGATTTTGAGTGTGCCAAGAGAAAACGCAGTTGGTGTAGATAGAGGTGATGTGGCAACTCAAAAAAAGCATGCCGTTATTACGAAGCATCGTCAGGCAGTAGAATGGGGAATGAGAGCCATACAAGGGTCATTTGGAAGGCTGCATGCAAAACTTCCTTCTGATAAGGAACAGCGTAGAGATATTTTGACCCTTGTATGGAGGTTACACAACTTCCGTGTAAGAACCGTTGGTGTAAACCAAATCCGAACGGTTTACTAGGCTAATTGGAAGCAAAGGGAGCAAGAAATTATGAATTATTTGAATTAATAAAATTAATCTTAATTTTTGTGCGTTTTGGAAGGCATGCGAAATTAACCTCGGAAAATTGAATTTCCGTAGTTAATTTTAAGTTAATTTAATTTCTGTTTTGCGTTTTGGAAGTCATCCAATATCAGAGCGAAAGTAATTACCAAACATGTCACAGTTGACAGCTTGATGTACTTGTCACTATTCACCTTTTTTGGGGTTATCTACATCATACCCAACCGAACAAAGTTGAAGATAGAAATAAACCGACCATTTGAAGTTGCCATCAAAGAGGATTGAAACATCATCGAGATATTCGCTAAGTTGGTTACCAAACTTCCCAACTTTGAACGACTTTCTCCTGTACAAAAACCGGAGTTGACGGTGCATTTTTTGGACCCAATTCTTTCGCCTATTTTTGATTGACCTGACAACAAGTATCTCATTTGGTTAAATTGTAAAGATAAAAATACAGCGATATTCCGACCAGATGCGACCACTGTTGCGACCTGCAAAAAACAGATAATGTTACTTTGCGTTATGTACGTAGAAGTGAATCCGTCAGATTTCAAATCCAATCCTGAGTTCTCATTAAATAGACTTGGTTCCTTTTGGCACATTTTCTCGCCGTTTGATGTTAAAGAAAAACAATTGTAAGGTGGTTGTGGTGCAATGCATTCGTTATAACATGGTTCTACTTGGTCTGAACATTCAAAGAATAAGTCACACAATTGGCAGAGACTTTGGCCCCTCACAATCACAAAAAAAAATGTTTTAATGGTCCAAATATAGGGCTTTTTGTTTCGTTGTCCGTTTTTTTTATTTTTGGTGAAATGTTACATCAGATTCTATTTTGAAGGATTAAAAAATTAATGTTACAAAAAGAGATAATTATAAAAAAGGTCGAAAAATTTTCAGTGCCGAAAAAAGGAATTATCCAAATAAAGGATTAAAATCTGACAGTACCAAAAACCCTTCTATTATTTGAAAAAAAACCCAAAACGGACTACTGAATTCACGATAATGTTTTTTTTTCTAAAATAAATTTTTATTTGCAACCCCTTCACGTTTTTTCTCTCTCTCTATCCTTTTTATCATCCAATTTAAAAAAAAAATGAGTTTCCAAAATTACACCAGCGAAAACTTTGTCAACGATTTTAACGGCAACACACAAAGGGGTCAACCCAGAGCCAACAGACCAGCACCTGCCAGACCTGATGTACCTGTCACATCAAATGTTGCCTCGGTACCTACTACCCCTGCTACCCCTACCACTGCTTCTACAGCTGCTACTCCTCCTACTCCTCCCAACCCTCCTACTAACCCCACTCCTCCTACTAACCCCACTGCTCCCACCGATGCAAACCTACCAGCTTCTTCTGAAGCACCTGTTTCTTCTGGAGCAGCTCCAGCAACTCCTTCTGAGTCTGCTTCTTCTGATGGCGCAACTCGTCAATCATCTACTGGCAGAAACTGGGCCGCACCTAGCACGTACGTTTTGATTGAGTTGTTTAGAGACTATGCCATGCAAATAACCAACACCTCGTCTACTGAGGAAAAGGCCGCACTTGACGCTGCAGTTTTGAGAAACTTTAACGATCATGAAGCTGTGAATGTTACCAGGAGTCTTACCTCGATGAAGAACAAGTGGAATGATATGATTGCATCCTACAGAGAAAAACGAGATGCAGCTAGAACTACTGGTAGTGCTCCTCTTCCGCATTGGGGGTTTTATGATGCCATGGAAGATGCAACGACCCGTATAGCAACGGTCAACCCACACGTGCTATATAGTTCACTTTTGGGTGAAACTGTTGATAATCGTGAGCAACACACCTCTGGTAGACGTAGACAATTCACAGTAGAAGATGATGATGATGTGGAGGAGCCTGGGACTAGACGACCTCGAAACGTTGATGTGTCTGTCTGGTTTATGGCAAACCGTATGGAAGAAATTGACGAAAGAATTCGTCAAGAGAGAGCTGATGATCGTCGGTTTCATCGAGAGCAAATCGAGTTGAATAACCGTCTAAGACGTGAAAATTCGGAGAGGTTGAGAGAAGCTACTTCGGCTATGACTAGAATGGCCGAATTGTTTGCTTTATCTCTTGCAAATAATAACCCCCCTCCTACCTCTTCCCCTTCCACGACCAATACTAGCGACAACAACCACAACCCTTCCCCTCCTTCCTCTAATGATAATAACATTTAATTTTTTTTTATGTAAATAAATTCTTTTTTATACTTCCCTTGTTCTGTTTCTATAGTTTGTTCTGGTACGGATCAAGCTAGTAAGGAATTCGGTTCGTCTATCATTTCCATTTATATCCGAATTTGCCTCTTCTGTACCAACAGCACCACGGATATTTTCCAGAACAACATCTGTAAAGCCAGGATCACGAAGATCAATATACATATTGTGCAAGATGCAGGCTGAAGTAATAACCTCATTGATTGACAGCTGATCTAAGAGGTAGATATATCGACCAGTAAATCTCCAACGAGCCACCAGTACACCGAACGCTCTTTCAGTAGCCATTCTTGTGGCCGAATGTATATGGTTGAATGTACGTTTATTGCTGTCAACTAAACATTGACTTTCCGGGAAGGGTGTAATTAAATTGGGACCCAAAGGATATGCAGAGTCACCAACCAAAAACGTACGACCAGGGAAGTAGGTCTCAGGGTTCGCAAGAATGGTTCTAAAGAGATCACTCGAGGTGAATGCGGCTGCATCATGTGTTCTTCCTGATAGATTAATACATATTAGCATATTTGTATTTTTTAGGTTTTTGGCTTTGGTTACAATACCTGAATCACCTACTCTGATGTACGTAAATCGCAACTCAGAGTCACAAAGTGCAGTCAGTTTGACAGAGTAATCATTCTTACGATCTCTGAACATCCCACTAGCTTCACCAGAAGGCTTGTGAATTTTGAAATTCTTGCCATCCACAGCACCAATAACGTGGCTCAACCTGCGACCATCGTTACTACCAAACCCGAGAGCTACTTCACCTGCTTCCTCTGGGTCAGTTGGCCAAGCAACTAAGTGACCCAGTCTTCCTTTGATTGCTTTGACCGTTCGTTTGGTGAAGTTGATATAACTACCGTAAGAAACACCCAAATGCATATACGCTTGATGATATCCGATATGACTATTGGCCAAACGAAATAAAGCCGTTGCGATCTGAATGTAGATCGGGATGGTGTTAGGTGCGACAAGGTTGAACGCCTCGTGCAAGGACAGATCGTTCACCAAATGCTCGAATGCATGCTTACTCATGCGGTATGTTGCCCGGTAACTGTTGACTTGATTCTCGTCATCGTCGTTCAGAAAAGGGTGTTCCAATTTCCAAAAGTGGTATCGACGAGACTCTCTACGACCATCGGCACCAACAACCGTTCAGGTTCTCTCGACATATTCACCCCCGAAAAAAATGGGTAAACTGGTGATGCCAACACCGAATTGACTCTGGAAGTCACTAGCAATATAACCATATTGAAGGCGTTCGGCAATCAAGAGTTCACTAATCGAGTGAAGACTGTTGGCATTTTCTTCCAAACGACGTGAATTTTCTAAAAGTTCCATAATATCAAGGTGTAATTGAGACATGACAGTTGCAATTTGAAGAGGGTTCATTTTTGTTAACTTAAAAAATAAAATAAATTATGGAAAGGGGGCAAAAGAAAAAATAAAAAAATAAAAAATGAAATCCAGTCCAGACATTTTAGCAATTCGAGAAAACATCAATTTTAATCATCCATAACAAGCCATTTAAAAAGCATCGCCACGAATTTCTGAGAAAATACATCTTTTTGGAATCTGAGGTAACCTTTCACCAAAAAAAAAAAAAAAAAAAAAAACGGAGAAGAAAAAAAAAGTCCTATATTTGGACCATTAAAAAATTTTTTTCTGTGCTTGTGAGGGGCCTTTGTCTATCGATGTACCTAAAGAAATTGGCCGAATTGGGTACATTCTACAAATAATAGACTACTTCAAGAGATTATTCTATTTGAATGAGCATCAAATAGAGACTCGGTACAAAATCTCAAGAGCACTTGAGGAAGAAGACGCTGCTCTACCCATTGATGCAATCAATCCCAAACGTCCGAAACAAAAGATTCCCTCGTTCTCTTTGGTGTATGATTTCTCGCTCCCCTTCATATTTTTTTCTCATGTAGTCCAATATCATAAAAAAATGCATAACCAAGGGCCCTCGCAAGGACATCAAACTATTTTTTAAAGATCCCGATTAAGGACTTTAATTTTTTTTTTTTTTTTCAGAAAGGTTACTTCAAACTTCCAAAAGAAATTTTTTTCTGAAATCCATGACGTTACTTTTCAAATGACCCATTTTAAATGATTAATAATAAAGTTTTTGCAGATTAGTAAAATATCTGTTCCTTTATTTTTTAAAAACAAAATTTCAGTTTAACCAATTTTTTTATTATATTTTAAAAAGATAAAAATTACAGTTTAAGAATGATAACCCCACAAAAAATTGCGTTTGTCGTGTCTCCGTTGCAGCTCCTAATAGTTCGAATCAACGAAGAATCTGAATCTCTCGAAGAAGATAGAATGGAAATTCTCAATTCTACTGGACAACGCCTCGTAGAGAATATGACGACTCCTCATTCCAGTAGAGAGGATGGAACAGGTACGCTGTGCAGCAGACGGAGGGTTTACTCTGGGTCGGCCTCTTACCACAGGAGGGTTTGGGCGTTGGCCATTGATGAAGTCAGTACCTGAATAATTTTGAAAACTCATATCTGTAAAATAAAATGGAGATGTCAGAAAAAAAGTAAATCAATAAAAATGAAAGGCTCTTATTGAAAAATAAAACAACATTCGTGATTTCAGTAATCGGATTTGAACATTAAATAATCTGATAGAAGGTTTTTGGGGCCTGCAGATTTTAATTCTTCGCTTGGACAATCCGGATTTCTTGGCACTGAAAATGTTTAATGTTGTTATTAATCGTCCATATATATTATTAAAATTTTAAAAGATTCTATTTGGAAAAACTGTTACCTTTCACAAAAAAAAAAAAAAAAAAAAAAAAACATTTAATGTCCTTAATCGGGATCTTTAAAAAATAGTTTGATGTGCTTGCCATGGCCCCAAGTCATCCATTTCTATATATAGGCTTTTAAATTGATTTCAATTTTAGTGTTATAGAGGTTTATTGAATAATTAAATAGTACGACTTTTGAATTTTCAGGCTTTAGTAAAGATAAAATAATCTACAGCAAATGGAATTTGGTTTCGTCAAAAGCGAAAATTGGGCCAGTGCAATGCGCAAATTGAATTCTATAAAAAGCGCTAATTGGGATGTTTAAAAGCTCGAGCTAATCTTAATAAGCGTTAATTGACACTGGGGGCACTGTAACTGACCAATTGAGGCTAAACAAAAGTGACCAGTTGAAGTTCTGAAAACTGACCAAGTGATCTTCAGAAAAGTGACCAATTGAAACTCAAAAAGTGACCAATTGAGGCTCAAAAAAGTCACCAATTGAAATTTAAAAAGTGACCAATTGACCGTGGAAATATAGTAGAACATAGTCCTTTATTTTAGAAGTTTGTGTCTCTTTACCTTTTATAACATTATCCCACCTT